GGCGGTGCTCGGAGGTGTGCCTGGTGCGGCGCCCGCTCACCGTGACAGGGGGGCCACGAGCGAGCGTGTCAGACGCCCACGTGCCTGCCAGGCGGCCCAGGCCGCGCTCCTTAGTGAGATCGAGGATGCCTTGGGGTCGCACTGTCCAGCCGTGGCCCCCGCCTTAGTGACGGCGAGTGGGGGGGAGCTGAGAGCAGTGATGGTGGATTGGGTCACCCCTGTAGCCCGTCTCTGCGTTTTCCACTTTGGACCCAGCAGCAACGCCTGTGGTGGTGTTCACTAGGATGTATTATTATTATTATTATTATTATTATTATTATTATTATTTTACGCAGATGATGGTCGCACCAAACCTACTCCACGGAAGAGTTCCGTGGAGGGTCTCGAGCCCGCAGAAAACAAGTGTCTGTTGAGAGCCACGGATGGGAAAAGGAAGATCAGCACTGTGGTGAGCTGGAGTCTTTTCTGCTTTGTTTTAAGTCTGTCTGGCCGTGAACTTAATCTTCTTCCAAGTAGTCGAGGTACAGGTGCATGGCCTGTCCCATGGCCAGCTGGTAAGCTGAATTGTTTTAAAAATACAGGGTCTTGCTGTGTAGTTCAGGCTGACTTTGAACCTGTGATCTAGGAAGATCACAGCAGGAGCTTCAGCCTGTGTCTGGGTCACAGGTGCATGTTATCAGCTGAGATGGGTACAGTGATGATTTTGTGGGGCTACAGATTGATGCCAAGTCATCACCCTGTTACCGAGCCTCACCACCGGCGCCCTGAACTGTATCTTAAAACGACATTAACCGATGAGGGGCGTGTCTGAATTAGGCTCCTCCTCCCTTTCATTTTTGGCCTGTCACGCCCAGGCTGTTTTGGGATCAGGACCCACTTTTTTTTTGGGTGGAGGGGGTTGTTTCAGATGAGGTCTTGTGTAATTCAGGTTCATTATGTAACCTAGCATGGCCTTGAACTTCCAACTCTGTTGTCTCCAAAGTGGTGGGATCACAAGGGTGCACCACCTTCCCAATTACTATTCATAATAAACGTTTTTTGTTTTGTTTTTTTTCCCCCAGACAGGGTTTCTCTGTGTAGCTTTGCACCTTTCCTAAACTTACTCTATAGACCAGGCTGGCCTCGAACTCACAGAGTGCTGGGATTAAAGGCGTGTGCCACCACTGCCCATCTCATAATAAACTTTTAAAACAAAATAGAGGCCAAATGCTTGTTCTGCTAAAATTTCTATGGGAGTAAAATGAGTATATGGGTCCATTCTCCCAGTAGTTGCTATGAAGAATGATTGACGTATTTCTTTTCTGTGCTGGGCCTTCAGTAAATCATTTCTGGGTGTTAGATGACTTATCCGCCTGCCTCTGTCTCCTGAGTGCTGGGATAAAAGGCGTGCGCCACCACTGCCCAGCTCGGTGATTATTTTTAAGCTGATTTCCCCTTGTTTTTGTGGTCCACTTAGCAAACATGTAACCACAGGTTAGGCTTGGTATTTGGAATTCTAGTCCAGAACTGTGGTCTTTCTATGAGAGGTTGAATATGGCAAAACAAAGATTCCCTGATTCAAAGTGAATACTACTTAATTCTACAGACTGTCTGTGATCACATTAGTTGAGGATACTCATGAAACTGCCAACAATAACTGATGTCTTCCTTTATGAGTTATCTTGAGAAGACCTTTTTTTTTTTTTTTTTGAAACAGGGTTTCTCTGTGTAGTTTTGGTACCTGTCCTGGAACTCACTCTGTAGACCAGGCTGGCCTCGAACTCACAGAGATCCGCCTGGCTCTGCCTCCCGAGTGCTGGGATTAAAGGCATGTGCCACCACCGCCCGGCTTTGAGAAGACTTTAAAGTAAAGCAAGTTCATGTGGCTGTCACTGATATGAACCTGAGGATTCTTCCTAGGTATTATTTCTTTTGTGGCAGCTTGAATTGTGTCTATATCAGTCTGAAATAATGGAAAACAAAGTTTTAAGACAGGTTCTTGCTTATCTAGCCCAGACTGGCTACTCATTATCCTCCAGCCCAAGCCTCCTGAGTGCTGGGACTCCAAGCCACTGCCAGCATGCTCAGCTGAGGGAGTTGGTTTAATGTATTTTGCATAAAAAATTCTCTTAAGATCCAAGGAAAAATTCAGGGGCATCTGGATAAGTTTTTTTTTTTTTCCCCCCACCTTAAATTTAAAGGCTGTCTGCCATCTCTGCCTCACAATTGCTGGGATTGGGATTACCAGAGTGGGCTTGTCTGAGGGATTTTTAAGGGTGAATAGGTTTGGTGCCTTCCCATCCTGGTGCAGCTCTCATGTGTAAGGCGGCACAGAGCTACTTTGCTTGTTGGCAGGGTCTCTCTGCAGCCCTGTAACTTGCTCTGTAGACCAGGCTGGTCTGGAACTCAGAGATCTGTCTCCGAGTGCTGAGATCAGAAGGCAGGTGTCCCACTGAACCTGGCCTAGGTGGTGTTTTGATGAAGCATTCTGAGGTCCTGTCTGAGTCAAAAGGGTGTCTATGTCTAAGAGGTGGTCTTTTGTCTTTCCAGGTGAGTTCCAAAGAAGTGAATAAGTTTCAGATGGTAAGTTCCACTTCCTTGTGTTCTCCATTCCTCCTCAAGAGGGTGGGCCCTGGCCAGGGTGGGACTGTCACTGCTTGCCTTGTGGTGCTTTATTTTCTGTTATCCAGCAGTGTTCTCTTCCCTTCAGTTTTTAAGGCCAGTTTTGTCTTAAACTTCAGCTACACTCTATAACATTGTTGAATAGGAAGTTGCATGAAGTTTTCCTTTTTTGCTTAGAAAGAGTGCAAAGCCTGCAGCTCCCTGTGAGGAGTGTCTCAGGAGCTGCTAGCTGCTGAAGGGGTAAAAGCTTTCTGTGGCATACCAGTTCCCAATGCAGGTGTCCCATGATGCCCGAGTAGGCTTCCTGGTGCCCGTTACTCTTCAGTGCACTGTGGGAAAGTCAGCTGCTTCCCTATTTGTACCTTTTCCTGCTAAGTCCATGTTGTGGCTTCCAGGCCTATTCAAACCTCCTGAGAGCCAACATGGATGGGCTGAAGAAGAGGGACAAGAAGAACAAGAGTAAGAAGACCAAGCCTGCACAGTGACAGCCTCGCCATTGGCAACAGCTGGAGGGCGGTTTCCTGTGTTTGCTGCTTTTGGCGCCCTCTGATGTAACTGTTTTCATGGAAGGGTCGTTCAAGAGAGAAGGGTTGGCTGATCATTGGGTAGTTGTGGTCAGAAGCCCGTTTGTCTTAGATCTTCCCTGTATGGCTGCATAGTCTTTGATTCCAGTCTTAAAGCGTCTAGTCATCTTTCAAGAGCTGTATGTCATTAAGTCCACCCACGCTAGCTGTTTCTTTGCCTACCCTGTTTCTGACAGTAATTACTAACTCTAGAACGATACAGTTACTCAGTGGTTTGTTTTTTGCCTTGTCTTTGAGAATACTGTAATAGAAATCTGACAGTTTTATTAAAAGTCATGTTATCCTATGGATGGGTTGTATAATTTAAAAAAATTAATTACATTATTTTTACGTGTGTGCACATATAATCAACTTGTGTGATTGATTCTCTCCTACCGCATGGATCCTGGGATTGAACTCACGGTTGTTGGACTTGGCAGCAAGCACCTTTACCACTGAGCCATCTCCCTGGACCTTGTTGTCTAATCTTAAGATTCTTTCAGCAAGTCTGAGTTCTCATACCGAACAGGAGTTCACTTAAGACAACAGAATAAATATTAGAGAATCAAGAATCAAGATTCTGCCTGGTGTGGTGGCACAAGTCTGTAATCTCAATGGTCTGGAGGCAGGCTGAGTTTGAGGCCAGCCTGGGCTGCATAGTGAGACCCTGTTCGGTACTCTTACCCCCAACTAAAGAGGCAAAACAGATCACAAGGGATGATTTTGGGTCTCTCTGCCTTTTTATTCACTTGGAAAATGCTAGGGCATTTTCATGTGCTTAGTGTTTAGGAGCAAGGGAAGACAAAGGCTGATCTTCTCCAGCTCCACATAATCTCTAGTGTTGGCAGAATTGCAAGTGGAAAGCAGAATATATATATTTATATATGAAAGCATTTATTATATCCAAAAAGATAAATTTATAATATACATGAAAAACCGACAAAGCTCAACTTTGTAGGACAGCTTATTAGAATTTTAAGTTAAAATAAATTGAATGTACAACATTCCATTATTCCAGTATACGCCCCTGTCCATTTGAACAGTGCAGCAACAGTTCTTCAAGGTCAAAACAGGATTCTGTAGTAGTCATCTCTGTAGCTGTACAGGAACAACACCGACACCCTGCAAAGGAACGGGACAGACAGACTGATGGCAGACTCCACCAGTGGGTAGAGCACTGATACTTTGAAAACACTAGCTGAGTGTGATGGGAGACTGATGACTGGAAAGAGTGCCCAAGCTTTCCTGGAGCTGTGACTGACAGTTTGCAGTTCAAGGTCTGATGCAGAAGACAGCCATTCACTCCCAGCTTCCCTGACACCTTCAAGTTACATGAGAACATGAATGACTGGCATTTTTACATACACAGCAAAGGCCGTCACTTTTTTTTTTTTAAATGTCATTTTGCTTTTTTGTGATAGAGCCTCGTGTAAGCCAGACTGGCTTCAATTTTGCCTTTAAGGTAAAGGATGACCTTAGTGCTAGGATTATAGGTGTGCGCCACCACCCCTGGCTTCCTTCTTTACACAGTTTCTGGGGCTTGGGAGATGGCCCAGTTGGTAAAGGGCACGTCAAACAAGCACTGAGTGTGGACCCCTAGAACCACCATTACAAGCTGGCCAGAATGGTGGAGACAGGTGGGTCCCTAAGCTCCTTGATGCCAGTCAGCCTAGCTAATCCACTGAGCTTCAGGTTCAGAGAGACCCTACCTCAAAAAGAAAAGGGGGGGAGAGTGATCGAGGAGAGTGACATGAACCTCAGGTCGCCACATGCCACACCCATTTCCTCTCCCCCCACAAGAAGTGAGGTGCCTGGATGGACCTTAATTGGGACAGCTACACTCAGGCCCACAGTGTTTTGTTATGGACAAGATTTTCACTGTGATTCAAGATCTGAGTAGGACTTACTGGCTGTCAATCACATTTCTGAACTGTCAAACCTCAAAAGACAAACACGGCACTCGGACCCGTCCCTGCTTTTAACCACATGAAACCTGCTGTCACTTACTTCTTTTCAACTTTGATGTTATAAATCTCATCGCAGACGAGTTTGAGGTACCTCTGCTTTGGCAGGCGTGACAGCAGCTGCTTCACAGTTGTGTTAAATGCCTGTTCATCAGCATCCCACTAGGAGAGACGAGAGATGACAGAGCAGAGCAGCAGGGTCAGAAGAGTGGGTTCTTCCTTTGAAGCATTGATTTTCTTGAAGACCACAGGTGTAAAGGCGTCTTAACCTTGCCACAGGTGTGCTAATGTGACTTTAGGTTGCTTTTCCTGGATATTTAACTCTGTTTTAGGTGGAGATTGTTGCCTTTAATGCCTACTCACTGGACTGGATTACAAGTCAGCAAACTGCCAGAGTGGTGTGTGCTTATTATTTGTATGATCAACAGGGAATGATGAGACAGGCTGACTCTCTGGCACTGTCTGGCCCTGAACTGAGGACCCTCCCGCTTCCAGTTCTTAGTGCACAGCTTATTTTATTTTTAATCTGTCACTAAACAGTATGGAAAGACAAAAAAGTTATTTGATGTGAAATGTTCTAAAAATTACCTGTAGCCTGTAATCTCTGCTCCTGGGAGCCTGAGGCAGGAGGATTACTACATTTCAAGGCCAACTTGGGTTATGTGCTGATTTTTGTTAATGACACAAACTAACCTGGAAAGAGGGACCATCAGTAGAAGAACTGGCTCAGCAGATTGGCCCCTGGAGCATCTGCTTGATTTATGTGGGAGGGCCTAGTCCACTGTGAGTGGTTACCCTGGGCAGGTGGCCTGAGCTACACCAGCAAGCCAACAGCAGCATTCCTTCATGGTTCTTTCCTGCCCTGGAGTTCCTGTCTTGGCTTCCCTCAATAATGGACTGTAGCCTGTAAGAGTTACGATAAACCTTTTCATTCCCAATTGTTTTTGGTTGATGTTTTTATCACAACTACAGAAAACTAACTAGGACAGGCTACCTGGTAAGATCTTGTTTCACAAAAAAATAAAATCACTCATAGCTATGGTTTTTTTACTTCAAATGGGAAACTTCAAATTTTTAAAAATTGGAAAAAAATGTATAGAAGTATAGACCTATAAACAGACTAACTGAATCTTCGGTGTAGTTGTGCCTCCCTAGCTGGGATGAAGGTTTGCTTGGGAAACCAACACATGGTGCTATGGGTAAGAACCTAGATTATACTAGTCCTCTAAGCTCCAGTCCTGGCTCTGATACTTTGTGGTTGTGTGATTCTGATTCAGGAATGCCTCTGACACATACTAACAAAAGACCAGTGTTACTGCTAAATTCCCACTGCTGTCAGACAGACATAATTACTAAGGACATTTAAGACCTTTTCCAGTTTTCCTTTGACAAGACTGAAAGTCACAGTGCAGATCAGTTCCCATTGCTTACCTCTAATGATAAAAACTGTAAGATTGTTTCTTTGGGTAGATCCACCTGTTAACACACAGAAACATGTATCATTTACCAAGAACTCTTAAGCAGCACACACAGACTAGGGACCATGTGTCATTGTGTGGATGATGTGAATAGGGCAGCTGTTAATGCTGTGAGTGTGTGTGTGTGTGTGTGTGTGTGTGTGTGCGTGCATGTGCATGTGTTGTAGGCACACATGCGTGTATGAAGGCTCAAGATTGATACTGGACTTATTTTCAACTGCTGTTCCATCTTTGTCTTTGAGACAGTCTCAGTGAAGTCCAGAGCTGGCTGACGTGCCTAGTCTACAAGCCAACTTGCCGCGAGAATGCCGTCCCTGCCTTCTGAGGCTAGCATCGTAGGCCTTTATGTGGGCTCAGGGATCTGAACTCTAGTCGTCATGCTTGTGTGGCAAGAGCTTTACCATCCTCCCAGCCCCTAGAGCAGACTTCAAATGGACTGAGCACTAAGAAGCACTTGAGGCCGGATCTCCAGATTTCACACCCATACCCTAGAGGTACAGACCCCACATGTGCTTAGTAAGGCCTGAAGAAAGAAGAAAAAGGAGAAACACCCCAACCACCTTCTTTCCCCCCAGCTCTGTCTGGCTTCAGGCTGCTTGTCACTCCATCAGGGATGGCCAGGTCTGACTCCAGATACAGCCGATAGCAAAGAAAGCCCTGCATTCTGGGGCCACACTAGACAATGCAGACAGACGCCAGCTTCAAATTGTTAAGAAAGTGACTTACAGCCAAAATTTCAATTTCACTGCTTTTCTGATGTAAATTGGCAAGGGTAGTCTGAAGTCGGGTCTGTACCTAGTAAGAAAATGGAGTTTAGAGTGTTAAACCAAGTCATCTTATTTCCCACTCCAGAAAACAGCAGGCAACAAAGCCTCCCAACAGAACATAAGGGTTTGATATACAGTGAGGGAGTTGGAGTTGATATACAGTGAGGGGGAGATTGGCTTTAGGACTTGTTATGTTGGCCAGGTTAGCCTCACACTTGTGATCTTTCCAAGTAGCTGAGATCACAGGTACACACCACTACAACTGGTTTACAGATGTTCTTAACAGCTGTGCTGTGGTGGCACATGGCTTTAATCCCAGCACTGGGGAGGCAGAGGCAGGTGGATCTCTGTGAGTTCTAGGACTTCAGCTTCCATTAAAGCTTTGCAGAGATATAAACAAAATGTAACACCACAAAGACTTTTGAACATAAAATACTTTTCAAACAAATTATTATTATTATTATTGAAAATAAAGTTGTCTGGGTGGTGGTGGCACATGCCTTTAATTCCAGCACTCAGGAGGCAGAGGCAGGAGGATCTCTGTGAGTTCTAGGCCAGCCTAGTCTACAGAACAAGTTCCAGGACAGTCAAGGATACAAAGAGAAACCCTGTCTGAAAAACCAAAGGGGGAAAAAAAAAACCAAAACAAAAAACCCCAAACAGCAACAACAAAACCCACAGATGCGCTTACCATCCTCTCCCATTATGTTCCTGGCCACTCTTATCACTCACATTCAACACACTGAACTGCCATTCTGTCACTTCAGTTCCCTTAACTGCACAGTGCACATGTGTCTAAGGACACACACACACACACACACACACACACACACACACACACACACACACACACACACACACAGCCTCAGCACAGGCATACAGCAGACACCGAAACCAGGTTTAGAATGAAAACCTCACTCTTGTGAGCGGCTAAAATGCTCTTCTTTAGAAGAGAAACAAGCTGCTCCAGCTGTCACGGGCCATCTATTGACAGCCGCTGCTACACACTAACATCTCTGTGGACAGATGGGCTGAATTACAGCACCAGAGACCTTCTGCTGACATCTTCAGAGGCCACCAGGGGAAGAAATCCTTATATT